TAAGGTGGGATTGGCAGCTGGCTTCCTTCAGTGTTATTTCAAATCAACCACCAAAGATTCCTGAAGCCCTCTGAACCATTTCCAGAAAGGCCTAAAAGAACAGACTGCATGGTAATTGATTAATATGGGAAATGAGAAATACATCTTTGGGGTGGAGAAACTTGTCAATAAAAGGGCATTTCCAAGTCCAAGTGGTGTCCCTAGAGCCCGGACATCTCATCAGCTGAACTGGCTCAACTGGACCACCACTTATCAGCTGGATTGATGCTGAAACAAGCATAGGCATCTGTAGGAATATCAGGGGGTAGGATGGTCAGGACAGACTGAGATGAGAGATCTCTGAATCCAGGTTGTGAACTTGGGGTTTATTGCAGAGGCCGTGGGTGCAGGACCCTGCTTGGAGCTGCCAGCCACAGCTCAGAGCAGGCCCAAGAGCAGAGAGGGGTGAGAGGATGAGAGGGTAAGAGAGGCAAGAGCGTAAGGGAGTAAAAGGGGTAAGAGAGTGAAGTTCCCATTACAATACAATAAATCTTCTGTGTTGAACATTCTGATTCTCACCAACTAATCTAGTACAAGATACAAATCTTATAGCATTTACATACAGCCTGTAAGAATCGCTACCATACTGTGTTGCATTTTAAACCCTAAAAACTACTCCTTGGCCCCCTTCTGCCAAGCTAGTAGGGTCTGCTCTGACCCTTGGATCTGTCTGCAAGCAGAGGGTATTGTTTCATCAAAAGGGGATTACCTTCAGTTGGCCAAACCATTGTTTTCTAGTTGTTCAGTAACTAAGGTAGTTCTAAGCTTGCTTTCATTTCAATCTCACTTGTAGTTTTTATATTTTCAAAATCTTTTGCCAGACAATCATATTTATAAGGCTTTCCTGTTTCATCCTCTCCAACAGGCATCTTTTTAGCTGGATCAGTGCTGGAACAAGGGCTGGTGATGCGTTTTCGTCTCTCTTTTCCTCTTTCTTTCCCTTTCTTTTTTCTCTTTTCCTTTTAAAGATTAACCTTACTTTTTAAAATTTACCTCTTAAATTTCCCTTTTCCCTGCCACCCTCTCTCTTTATCCAAAACCCACTGCCATATGCCTTATTTTTCTCTTCCCTTCACCCCAACCCTTTACCAAAAACCCAGTGCCATGTGCCTGTATATCAGGTCTAGGACTAACACACCAATTTCCACATCAAGTGTGTAATGTGCCAGTAAAACTCTGTGGACCCTCGGATTTTGTCGCTCCTTTCAACCAATGAGCATTTTCGAAGCTTAACCCTTAAAGGGAGGGTTGTCACACGGTGCCCTATTGTCCCACGGTCACCTTTCCCTTTGGAGGCAGGTCTGCGCTCCCGGACGCACCGCCAAGCCATCACTTGCTCCTTGTTGTCTGGCGCCCTCTCCTGCTGTGAGCCACTTCCTCTCGGAAGCCGAAGTTTCAGACCAATTCAGCAGGTCCAGGCAGCGCACGGGATGTGCCGCGGGATACACTGGGGCTCTGCACGGGCTCTTGCTCCCAGAGTGCTTCCGTTCAAAGCAGTCCGGGTTATTCAAGTGTTCTGCCTTCCCCAATTCTACTACCATCAATGTGAGAAGGAATGTCGTCATGGTACTTCCAGGGGTTTTGGATGCCTCAAATTGCATCACTCACATCTCACAGCCTAGATCATAGAGAAAGGAGCTATAGCTTGGTTCATGTCAGAGCATAGTGGATGCAGGAGAATAATGAGTGATTGAAATCAAGCTGGGAGGCCAGAATCATAGTTTGAGATTAATGAAAAAACAACAAAACAAGAAAAAAAAAATTGGAGTCTAGGCTTGGAGATACCTTAAAATGAAGGTGGCAGAGGGCTAAATTTTAGAGACCTTTGGCTGAAATAATATGATTCTTTACTCTGACTATGTACATTCAAATTAACTGCTACACATGATGCAGGTTACCTACAGTGTGTGCTCATACACTTACTGGCAATTCCTACTCTTTCAGTGTTTATATGTATTTGAACAAATACATTGAACAAATTGAATAAACTGTATGCAAAATGTGTTTTAGAGCACAGTAAAAGAAAATGTACTAGCAGCCAAAGTGCTCTATTCATGCATTACTCAGTCAGAAAAGGGCAAGACCTCTGTATTAAAATAGCAACATGATATGCTTTCCTGGGCACGCATGCCTGAAGGTAAAGAGTGAGCCATTATTAATGTAGCTCAAATGTGTGTGAACTGCAAAAATAGCTCATAGGCTCTGCAAGGTATGTCAGATGCTCAGCACTGTGGAAACAGTGTTGTGAAAGGAAATACATCACAATGGAACTGGCCAAGTTGAAGTCTTAGTATTACTGATGAGATGAAGAAGTTCAACATACAATCCAAGTGCTTTTCTTGGAAGTACAAGCAATACAATTTATCTGTCCCATGTTAATCGGGACAAGAGCCCCAACTGTGGTTATAAATGCCTTTGGCCTTCAAAAGGACTGCTTAAAATAATGGGACAAAGTGATCCCACATATCCCATTTTAGCTGTTCAACCTGTAAAACAAAATCAAAGCTGTATTTGTTTTGTTTTAGTGTGTATATGTTTGATTTTTGCACTTCAGGCAATTTACATTACACTAAAGATAAATTTAGTGCTGGAATAAACACCTGCTGGAGTAAGTGTGAATGCCAAAGAGCAACGTGCACTGAGTATCTGGTGAACCTGCTCCAGGTCTCTTCCAGACTAGTCGAAGTCTAGTGTAAGCCCAGGGGAAAAAAAAAAAGAAATTGAAAAAATTTTGCTGGGAAGTACCTTGTGTGTCCAAAAGGTGGGCTAACCCCATTCCCCCTGTAAATATGAGCAGGCTGAGGGAAGTCTGCAGTGTGCTGGGCAGTGCTTGCCTGTTGTTGATGCTTTCTGTGTGCAGGCTGAAATCAGATTAGCTGCATAGGATCTCAGGAGAGCTAATTATATTTTTAATTTTAAAGACTCATCCCTGAGTGCTGCACTGTCAGCATGGCCGTGTCTTTTGTTCTGAATGCTGCTCTGACCACAGCTGGGTATGCACAGCTCCAGTTATAACCACGGTATATGGCTGGAGAACAATAATTCTGAGCTTTCTGACATTTGCCCCCTCTCTCCCATGAAATCCTGCTGACTGCACTGATGTACGGTCAGTGCATTCAAAAGGAATGTCAGATCTCAAAACCTCTTCAGGAACTGGCAAATCCTACAGCCCACAATCGAATTAATGTGTCTCATTTGTGAAACAATAATCCAGAGATGATCTGGACTGTTTGTCTGAAGAAGATCTCTGCATCTTTTTCTGAACAGGTGGTCTGTAGCAGACAGCTACCACAGCAGGGACCATGCTGGTCTGCCTGCTACTTGTGACCTGGCTCTCAGCTGGCTTCTCATCCATTCTGAGACAGATCTCATGCATTCCTGCTGCTCTCCCCTCAAAAGGCAGCTCCTCCCCATCGCTGTCCTTCCTAAAGAGCCTGTATCCATCCATTGCAGCACTCCAGCTGTGTGAGCTATCCCCCAGGTCTCTGTGATCCTGATGAGATCACAGCCTTTGAACTGCAAACAGACCTGATTCCTCCTGCTTCTTCCCCACGCTTTCTGCAGACCAGCACTTGAGATGCTGAGTTCTTAGAGAAAGAAAAGTATCTGCCCCACCTTACTGACCTGCAGGGCCAGCTTTGTTTGTGTGAACAGACCTGGAGTGAGTCCACTGCAACTCTTCTGTTATGAGGTTTCTCCTGCTCACATCACCTTGCACACTCTGCTTACCAGCTGGGCCCACCATATCCTCACACAGTTGCAGGATGTCCTGCTCCACCCCACATCATTCCTAGTTGGCCCGGTGGGCAGCTTGGTTGGGCTCTGATCTGTCACTTGGTAGTTACCAGATAACTGCACAGGGTTATTTCACCAGGAGCTCAGGCATGGTAAAGTGGCATCTGCTTTTAAAAGCAGAATAGTTACTTCCCATCAAGGCAAAAGCATGAAGTGACAGGACATAACCTGCTATCATTTACTGCTTCCTTTTATAGTTCCACATTTGCACATGTTGCTAATTGTTGTGTGTTACTTGGCAACACAGGAAACCAATCCTATGTGATATATTATTAAATAACAGACTATTAGGGAGACATACAGGGCCATAATATCAGCTAGACAGTCACTGATAGCATCACACATAAAAGAAATAGAAAAATCCATTAATTCAGCCTGATATTTATCTTTGCAGGCATCATGTTTAATGCAGCTCTCTTGGTCATCTTCAATATTAAGGTTTTCTACAGGCTCTGGATTAGTGGTACCAGCTGAACTTCATTTAATATTTCATTTTAAATGAACTAATTTGTAAAAGCTCTGCCCACATTTTTCTATTTATTTCCATGTAAATAAATTATGTTTCTTAATGTCACCAAAGGACAAGGTAAAAAAAAGTGTTTGGAGGGTGGGAGTGGCAGAGAACTGAAGTTTAATGACAGAAATGGAGGTAACAGAAGCCAATACCAAACTGAATCATTATGATTTAATTGCTGCCATTAACACAGTATCTTGGGAAAGCTGAGTAACAAATTACATACTTCTCAATGGAGGGGAAATACTTGACAGCTCTCATGAGACAGGTCAGGAATACAGTAGCAGAGGCTGAATGTTTCTTTTCCCATAGCCTTCAATTTCTACAGAAAGCTCTCACTGTGCTTTGGGATATTCCACTTAGCAGCTCAATGAAACATTCCCTGTCACAGATGATCTCATCTTGAGCCATGTAACCAACTGTGTTCTTACACACAGCAAAATTCCTACTAGAATGGAAAAAAGGCACAGGGACTCTCTCTTCATCAGTGCATTAGTGTAGCAGTTGTAAGCATTAGAGTTAAAATGGACCTTGAAGGACCTGACCAGCAAGGCAGTAGTGAGCCATAGGTAGGTTTCTATGTATGTGTCTTCTCAATCAAGCACATTTCAAATATTAAAGGAAGTCATAAAGAAACAAGGAAGCAACAGAAGACATGTATGTATTTAATTACTGTCAGCCTCAGCAGCTAACAGAAGTAAAAGAAAAAAAAAGTAAAAAAAAAAAAGCTAGCCCTTACAATCACCTTTAAATCTCCTCACTCTTTACTGCAGCTAAGGAAGCACTCAAGGGAGGGGACAATAACCTCTGCAGTAATTAACAGCACAAATTACATCAGAAGAGATCTTAATCAAAACCTTAAATCATCTAAATCTCATAACAGAGTTTCTTAGAACTACTTTCCAGAATGAAAAGAAGCCTTCTGTTGAATTTATGACACAAGTTTTCCACTTGCAGAACTGAAGTAGACATCCCATCACATGGGATTTTATAGCTACCCTTGAAGGATATCATGAGCAGATGTTCTAAGTGACACACCTGGCACAGAAGCACATTTGTCAAGGCCACTATCTGCAGGCAGAGAAAGGCAGTAGGACTTGTTCACTTCAAGTACTCTGTCTACTGCTCAGAACATGCACAGCAGATTAGTGCACAATTCTGCATTTCTCCAGGGACTGAGATGTAGGTTGCACAGAAGACAAGCTTTGTAATACCCAGCTTCTCCTAGAAGCCCCTGGAGAACTTTGAGCTGGGCTTTTATGTACCATAGTAACTAAAAGGCCAGGAACAGAGCTGGGGAAAAGTGGGGAAAAAAGTGAAAACTGAGACTGAGCATTAAGAATAGTAAGTTTTCTTATAAATCTACAGGATATGGCTCAACAGTAATTCACATAAAGCCTCAATTATTTAACTTGCAACTTTATTTCAGTGTAAGTCATTGGTAAAAAGTTTAATATCTAATTATACAGATACTGGGGATTTTCAGGGAAGTTTATTTTGTCCTTTTTAGTGTCTTTTGCCACTTGGTCCTCTGGCGTGTTTCAAGAGGACTAACACTACACGTGTACCTTAAATTTCTACACAAAAGCACTTCAAGTCTTTGTTTTGTTCTTCTGAGTAGGATGCCCAAAACATGCATATTATAGACAATATAACGGTCAAGGAAATGTTTCCCCTCTTTAAACTAAGGCAGTTAAAACCCCAGGAATATCAACTGAGTAATTTGGAAGAGTAAAAAGGCTTCCTTAGTGCTCATTTATTCTTTGAGCAAGTAAGACACACCCTCTCGGAATTATCAGATTTGATTGCTGTCTGCACTAAAAAGACAAAGATTGTCAAAGACAGCATTTAATTATATACATTTCATAATGCCACTAACTCGTCCACTTCTGAATAAGAACTCATCAACGTTAAGAACTGTGTAAACCCACATGCAAAAATTGCCATAGAATTTTTTAAATAGAACCAAATTGGCAAGTTTTTGGAAAGGATATTTCAATGTTTTAAAAAAAATTAATAAAATGAGCACTTCAAGTAACTTAAATATCTTCAGCAAACATGTCCAGCAAGAGACTCTCTGTAAAAGAAATTGTTCTTAGAACAAAAAGCTAACAAATGGCTATTTAGCCACTATTTTTTCAACACAGTGGTGGGTCTGTGTGAAACATTTTGTAATCTAAATAAAGCGAGTCCATTACAATGTTAAAAAACATACATTAAGCAGGACTGATTAACTATTGCATTTCTGTATTTACAAAAGTGCTTAGCATAACAAAATTATCTAAAAAAATATAAACTTTACCAATATCATTTGGTTCTATGTGTGCTCCTAGATCTGCACTTGGAAAAAATAGTATTTACATTGTTAAATTTAGATAAGTTTCTATAATTTTTGAAGAAATTTAACAAAACTCCCCCCACAAATGGACCCATATCTAAGTCAATGAACTTCATGTGGCTCAGAGCAGGAGCAAATCCTTGAGTGCTGAGCAGTACAAACAATTCTAGCCATTATCTGTGGCATTAGACCCCAGAACTGGCTGCCGACAAATAGGACAAGTGGAGTTTTCAGAAAGCCAGCGATCAATACAATGAATGTGAAACTCATGCATACAAGGTAACTGCCTTAGCTTATTCCCTGTCGCATATTCATTAATGCAAACACTGCACGTTTTACTCCATTCATTTTCAGTGTGAACATCCCCATAGTTCCGTGTAGAAAGATTGTCAATCTGCTCTTTGGTTAAACCTCTTAAACGATCATCATCATCATCCTCATTCAGCAGGAAGAAGTGGGCAAGTCGAAGGATGGGCAGCGTTCCATTCTCCACTAGATTGTTTGCATCTTGAGACTGCCTGCTGGCTTGGTTCTCATGATTGCGCCCAGAGCGTTGACTACCACCCCTCTGTCCATTTCTTTCCCTGCTGCCATCTCCTGCGTGTCTATTCCTAGACAAAACCCCACTGGGATCACTGCCATTCGCTGAACTTGAGTTATTCTGTGCATCCCCTAAGTGATGGCCGCCTCTTTGCACTTCTGAATTAGATTCAGTTTCCATTAAAGAACTCAGTTCTCCAAAGCCTGTCATTATCTGTCTAAGGATTGATCGAAGAGCCACCGATGAAGGTTCCCCGAGCCCAGTTTCTGAAATCCGACGGAGAGGTATCCGTATAGTGCTAATGTAGGTCCGAATACCTGCGCGTTCCGAGCGGGATATCGTGCGCCGAAACCCCCCACTGTCACTTTCAAAGGTAACTGTGTTTTCTGACATTCCTACTCTAGAACGAGTTCTACTGGCAATGCTGTCCCGGTCTCTGTTTTCTCCAGGACGAATTCTTCTCACCTGAAGATCCAGTGTAATTGTTGGGTGCCTTCTGGCAGCAGCTACTGGCCTACCAGGTTCCTCCTCTTCTGAAGTTGTTCGTAAGGATGGGGCTACACTGGAAAGCTGGGAAGCCTGAGTGTTACCTCTTGCTTGCTCTTCAGTAGACTGTGGAGAAGCCTGAGCAGTTTGTCTCCTACTTCTGTTGACCTGCTGTGCATTTCTATCCTGCCTCTGACTACGTTCCTCAGAACGAGCAGCATCACTTTGCCTTTGCAGCGGGGAGCGGCTTCGACTACTTAGGGTAGACCTCAGCCGCAAAATTTCTAGTCTTTGGTTTGTATTCATCCGGACATTAGTTCTAGCTCTCCCCCTCCTGACCCCTGCAGAAGTACCTCTTTCCGGCATTTCTCTTGGTTCATCAGCAGCCACAGAATTGCTTCGTGTAGTATAATTTGTCTGGCCTGTCAGCTCCCTTGTTCTACTCCTGAGCCTCCCTGAGACTGCATGAGAGACTATTTCTGACCTTAATGCCATGGCACGTCTTAAAAGCCTGGTCCTTGCAGCTTCATTGTTTGCCTCTCTTGCAGCCATGCTCCTTGTCCGTGGGGCTACTGAACTGGCAACTGGCTGACGTCTTCTTTCTACATACAGTCTGGTAGCATCTATATCAACATACTCCTCACCAGAAGTTTCCAAACTGTTATGATCATGATTTATATTGATTTCGAGACTAAAGCGAAACTCCCCACTGTTTGGATTCGTTCGACTCACGGCTCTCCAGGTTTGGTTCCCACTCTGCCCACTGCGAGTGGCGTTTCCTGTGCGACGGAATGTGTTAAGCCATTCAAGCAAAGAGTCGCCGTTGGAGTTTTCCCCAAGAACTTCAGAATCTGAGAGAAACAAAGAATTGCAAACATTCACACAACTGCATGCTCTGCAAACTACAATGCACTCCAAATCACTTGCTGGGCTCTAACTTCACACACCATAAAGGAGCAGGACACCTAACCTGCTATGCTAATGTACAAAAATGTGCTCTATGTAAAAATGCCAGCAAAACTTACCAGTTCAACCTAGAATTTTTGTCTCACCAGCAGACTCACAGAGAAATTAAAACACCCAGATTGTCTCTTCTGAGCCAGTGTTCAGATTCAGGTGGTCCAAAGATGGTTGTATTTGTCCAATACCTGCCACTTGCTGAAGTTACCAGTTTGGGAATATTTCAACAACTCATTTTGATACAGCAGGAAAAGGAATATCAAGTCTTGTCTTCTTTTGGAAAACATTTTTAAAAAATGTTTCCTATAAGCAGTAGAATAAATGATCACAGAATCAGGAAGGTCAGAAGGAACCTCTGGAGATAATGTAGTTCAACTCTGCTGCCAAGGCAAGGTCACCTAGAGCAACTGACACAGGAATGTGTCTGGGTGGGATGCATGGTTTGAACAGATTTACTCCTTTTGTGCAAATATACTCTTTTCCTATAACAATACCCACAGCTCCATTTTCAAGCCTTCTCCAACTACACACTCAGGCAAAGATACACATGCTTAGGGCTAACTATGTGTATAAAGCTGGCCAGTTGTCATGATCACAGTGAAGATTTTCCCTTTAAGGCATCAGATTAAGTTCTCCCTACTCCATCATCTCAGTGTCCAGGAAACCTCCCCTCCAAGAACTTTGGTATCTTCATTTCTGAGCTGCCAATTCCTCTCCCAAATCTGACTAGAACTGGCCAAATGAGTAAGCCAATATTTTTGGGGAATTGAAGACAGTGCATAAAACACAAGCCTCACTTGACTAAAACAAATAGAAATGAAACAACAAAAGTGTCAAAACAGTGGAGAGATTAACTGTTTTCCAATTAACTTCATTTCAAACTGTTCTAATACATGATAAAAACCTCTAAGAACTGAAAAAAAAAGTATTTTTGTGCTATTACATTTACTAGCAAGGGACAATGAAGGAAAAAGAAGCAAGCAATTTGTGATTAACATAAACGAGTTCTCATCAAGTATTTCAAGTTTGGTTTTGCATCCTTAGGCAATCTCTCTTAAACAATCCCCACAGGCACATTGGAAAAAAAAAAAAAAGAGAAATGAGACTCTCTTAAATATCTTTACAGAGCACTACTTATGCACCACATACTTTGTGTCTTTACATATGAATGAAGAATGTTTACCTCCAACAGTTCTACCTTCACCTTCTCTGTTATCCAGATCAGACTGCGATGTCAGACGCTCCTTAGCCCCCTCCAAACGTTGCTGCAACTCTTCTGCTGTTATTTCTCCTGAATTAATTTACATTTTGATAATACTGTTAGATAAGACACTATTATTGCCTCTACATAGCCACGCAGAAATAACATTTTCTATCTTGAATGAAAATCTTCATAAGACAGACAAAACTGATGAAACCATAAAGAAAACAGCACTCATGTGAGATCACAACACAGATATCAGAGGAAGTGTGGAGTGGAGTGGAAGAAAAAGATGCTGAATGTGTTGACAGTATGCCAGCTTCCAGTAACACTTCAGAGGCCCCCAAAATTGCCACATATAAACAGATATACTTGAATGTACCAAATGTTAATTATCTGCGTTTGAACATTCAAATGCAGCATCTTGGTATACAGGTGAAGTGTTATCCTTCTGTTCCATATGAAGGATTTTTCCCTTTATACAAAGCCACAGAAGTTAGGCTGCTTGAATCACAGTACCCCATGCGGTGCCTAACAGCAGGAGAGTTACTCCACTACACTTCCACTGAAGGTATGCACATCTTACCAGGAGTGCCAAGCAGGTTTCGGTCCCTCATTAACCTGTAGTCCTCCTCGTTGAGCTCGTTAATGAACTGGTAATAGGCCTCCTCCCTGCTGAGGCGCTCCAGCTGCCGCTGTCTCTCACCTTCGCCGCCGCGCTCCCGTGAAGGCGCCTGCTCATTGCCATTTCCCGCACGGTGTCGGGAGCGATCCATACTGATAATGCCAAGCTGTCCTGAATAAAACCAGAAGATTAGGCTGCCCAGGAATTACAGGAAGTATTTACCTGATTTGCAGTCAAACATCCCCAGCATATTGAAAGAAATTAGTTTATTAATAGCTAAAGATGATTAAAGTGAACCAAGCTCCATGTTATTTGCCAAGACAACAGGGTAGTTTATAATTCACATATATAAATAATTGTAGCTTGCTGAAAAATAGTTTCAAGCCCCCTTCCTCACTGAAAGGGCATACTGGTTGGTATGGCAACTCTAAAATAAAAATGCAATGACATGTTAGGGGTTTTTTTAGCTAAATAATTATATTCTAGAAAGTTAAAGGAATTAACATAAAATTTATGTCCTTTTTCTCAAGTAAAATACAACAGCAGTGGGGAGTATTTCAAAAGCTGAATTATAGCTAAAACCATGGTTTTCTGATTATTGTACTGCAATTACCGTGCAGACTTGTTACAACCCCAACATAAGACTACATTAGTATTTTCATTGGTAATATCACCCACAGAGTGTACAGCCTACACATTTCTTTTTGGTGGAATGACTCTTCTGACATTCTTACATTATTGGTATATTTTGCTTGCATTCTCTAATCCAAGGATTAGCTAGCAAAGAGACATCCATCTCCAGAATATGGGGTAAAAGCGATGGGCTGTACTTTTGCCACAGCTCTTCCCCACTTACCAAATATTGAACCAGTGGGACCACACTGTTAGAAGGCAAGAATGACCTTCTAGTGTCAGAGGCATCATCTCCTTTGATTTCTGTGTCATTACCACCTCCCTCTGGTTAGGACTCAATCCTCAGACCACTCCTCAACTTCTCTATTTTCTAAAGGAAACCTGTTCTTCCACTCTCTATTTGAAAGACGATAAAGTGTCCTTTCAATTGCGCTTCCTGTTTAACAAAAGGCACCTGTAACACCTGCTGAGGCAGATGCCAGAAAAAAGAGATCACTCCTCTACAGAGATCATCAGGCTAGAGAAGCCCCAAACTCACTGCACCCATCTGTCTGCTGTGGGTAAATGCCTGTTTTATTTGTTTGGTTTTTGTCAATTTACACACATATAAAAGTCACTTCAAGTTTAGATTACAGGGAAAACACAGAAAATAGCATTCTAAGCACACTCCTGATCAATAATTAGTCTTCACAGGACAGGTAATGAGACAACAAACAAATCAAACCAACTATTAGAAATAAATTAAAAAAAAAAAGGAAATCTTTATCAATACTGCAAACAGATACAAAAAAATCAGAAAATGTATTTGTCAACAGCAGAAGCTAGCATACATTTAATATACCTTTTTTACGTTCTTTGTGGGATCCATTCCAATGTATCCTTGGTTTCACTATTTCCACACCTCATGTTACTTCCCCCCACCAGCCCCTGTCCCAGGTAACTTCTTCCAAATCAACCATCTTCCTCCTGTGTCCTACACTACATTTTGGTGCATTTAAAATCTTCTCTCCCAGCTCTAACTCATTTAACTTCAAAAAAAATAAATCTGAGTATTTTCCCTTCAAGACATTTTCCATTCCCAAAATATTTTTTCTCTTTAATCAGTGTTGTCCTCTTGGCTCAGTCTCGCAAGCTGTAGATAACTGCTGACTTCATTTTCCTGATTTGAACATAGCCTTTGAACAAAGGCTATGTTCAAATCAGGTCACTTCCCTATCACACTTCTAAACACAAATTTCTCATCCAGCTCTTCCTCTTACTAACCCGGTTTCCTCACAACAAAAGCGGTTCCCACCCAACCTCAGCCAGCACTATCATTACCTTGGCAACACCCATCGTGAAAGTTACCTAATTAACACTATTACCATGAAAATGCCCAATCCAGACTGCAGCGAATAATGAAGTGCCTCTGTCCCAGGGGATTTACAATCTGACACAGGTGCAGCTGGGACAGGAGGAAGGAGGAGTAATAAAATTAATTCAGTTTCTCGTGAGGTTGTCATTTAAACAATTGCCTTAAAACAACACGTGGCTGCTTGCCCGACAATGGCGATTCTAAGTTAACCGACTTCCCAGGTACATCACTGTACTGCTGCACACAACAAAATTCCACATATATTCTTAAGACAAGAAGTCCATCACATGTAGTCTCCCTCAATCTAAATTTTAAGTGTTGTTCAAAAGATAGGTTCTTTAGTTATCAGTTATCCACAGAAAATCTGGAAATCTCTTTGATTTTGTGGGTAGTTAAGGAAAAAAATAAAATACTCTTTTGTTGACACCTGTATGGTAGGATGATTAGTCACACTCCTTGAATGACTCACTTAGAAACAGTAAGGAGTGTGAAGTGCTCCATTGTCCCATCTGTTTAACACAATCCCATGGATGACAGCTACTATCCCTATTTATCAAATGCCATTAAAACTAAGTACTTTGGCACCTAAAATGTTTTAGAGTTGTTAACGTTGAAGCGTATTAACTGTATCAAAAATGAAGTACATTGCACTAGAATATTTCTGGGTATTGAAAAGTTGAAGGACATTAACTAGCAAAATGCAAAAAATTGAAATTGAAATCCAGTTATAATTTGGATTACTCTTCCTTTGCAAAGAGGTAGGGCTCGCATGCCAACAGCTTGTTTTCTAGCATTTTCAACCTAAGACTTACTCCTTTAGACCTTCATTCATGATTACTCTAGCCTACTCTTTAAGGCTTACGACTTTTTTTAATATATACCTTACGCTTTTAAGTTTCAGCCTGTTTCCCTGAAGTACCACCCTCGATTCAATTAGGCATTCATTTTCTGAAAGGCTACCACCTGATTGCAAGGCGACTACGGAGGTAAACTGAAGAAACCTCCCCGAGCTAGAGGACTATTTAGCATTTCTTGTCACACCACAGCCTCCAGGCAGGATGATCTCACCGACTTCGGGGAAAAAA